TGGCCAAGGTCAAAGAAGTTGCTGTCTGTGTTCTCCTCTAGGATTTTCATGGATTCCTGTCTCACATTTAGGTCTTTCATCCATTTTGAGTTTATTTTTGTGGATGGTGTAAGGAAATGGTCGTTTTATTCTATTGCATGTGGCTGTCCAGTTTTCCCAACACCGTTTGTTGAAGAGACTTTTTTCCATTGGATATTCTTTCCTGCTTTGTCGAAGATTAGTTGACCATATAGTTGTGGGTCCATTTCTGGGTTCTCTATTCTGTTCCATTGATTTCTGTGTCTGTTTTTGTGCCAGTACCATACTGTCTTGATGACTACAGCTTTTTTTTTTTAAGATTTTATTTATTTATTTGAATGAGAGCTAGAGAGAGAGCACAAGTAGGCAGAGCAGCAGGCAGAGGGAGAGGGAGAAGCAGACTCCCCGCTGAGCAGGAGCCCGACGTGGGGCTCGATCCCAGGACCCTGGGATCATGACCTGAGCCGAAGGCAACCGCCTAACCGACTGAGCCATCCAGGCACCCTGACTACAGCTTTGTAATAGAGCTTGAAGTCTGGAATTGTGATGCCTCCAGTTCTGCTTTTCTTTTTCAGGATTGCTTTGTCTATTCGGGGTCTTTTCTGGTTCCATACAAATTTCAGAATTGTTTGTTCCTGCTCTGTGAAAAATGCAAACCCAATGCTATTTGATTGGGCTTGCATTAAATGTGTAGATTGCTTTGGGTAGTAAAGACATTTTAATAATGTTTGTTCTTCCAATCCGTGAGCATGGAATGCTTTCCCCTTTCTTTGTGTCCTCTTCAATTTCCTTCATAAGTGTTCTATAGTTTTCAGAGTACAGATCCTTTACCTCTTTGGTTAGGTTTATTCCTAGGTATCTTATGGTTTTTGTGCAATTGTAAATGGGGTTGATTTCTTGATTTCTCTTTCTGCTGCTTCATTATTGATGTATAGAAATGCAACAGATTTTTGTATGTTGGTTTTGTATCCTGTGACTTTACTGAATTTGTGTATCAGTTCTAGCAGTTTTATGGTGGAGTCTTTCAGGTTTTCTACATACAGTATCATGTTGTCTGCAAATAGTGAAAGTTTGACTTCTTCCTTGCTGATTTGGATGCCTTTTATTTCTTTTTGTTGTCTGACTGCTGAGACTAGAACTTCCAGTACTGTGTTAAATAACATTGGTGAGAGTGGGCATCCCTGTCTTGTTTCTGACATTAGGGGTTAAACTCTCAGTTTTTCCCCATTGAGGATGACGTTAGCTCTAGGTCTTTCATATGTGACCTTTATGATGTTGAGGTATGTTCCTTCTACCCTACTTTCTTGAGTGTTTTTATCAAGATAGGGTACTGTATTTTGTCACATTATTTTTCTGCATCTATTGACAGGATCATATGGTTTTTACCCTTTCTTTTTTTAATGTGGTGTATCACGTTGATCGATTTGCAGTTATTGACCCACCCTTGCAGCCCAGGAATAAATCCCACTTGATCGTGGTGAATGATTCCTTTAAGGTACTGTTGGATTTGATTTGCTAGTATGTTGTTGAGAATTTTTGCATCCATGTTCATCAGGGATATTGGCCTGTAATTCATTTTAGTGGGGTCTTTGGTTTTGGAGTCAAGGTAATACTGGCCTTGTAGAATAAGTTTAGAAGTTTTCCTTCCATTTATATTTTTGGGGATAGTTTTTGAAGAGTAGCTATTAACTCTTCTTTAAATGTCTGGTAGAATTCCCCTGGGAAGCCATCTGGCCCTGGTTTTGTTTATTGGGAGATTTTTGATTCCTGATTCAATTTGTTTGCTGGTTATTGGTCTGTTCAAATTTTCTCTTTCTTCCTGTTTCAGTTTTGGTTGGGAATCTATCTGTTTCTTCCAGATTGCCCAATTTGTTGGCATATAATTTTTCATAATATTCTCTTATAATTGTATTTCTGTGGTATTTGTCGTGATCTCTCCTCTCTCATTTGTGATTTAATTTGAGTCCATTCTCTTCTTTTTGACAAGTCTGGCTAGGGGTTTATCAATTTTGTTAATTCTTTGAAAGAACCAGCTCCTAGGTTCATTGATCTATTCTACTTTTTTTTGTTTCTATATCATTTATTTCTGCTCTAATCTTTATTACTTCCCTTCTTCAGCTGGCTTTAGACTTCATTTGCCGTTCTTTTTCTAGCTCCTTTAGGTGTAAGGTTAGGTTCTATATTTGAGATTTTTCTTGCTTCTGGTGGTAGGCCTGTATTGCTATGTACTTCCTTCTTAGGACTGCTTTTACTGCAGAGGTTTTGGACTAATGTGTTTTCATTTTCATTTGGTTCCATGTATTTTTAAAATTCTTCTTTAATTTCCTGGTTAACTCATTCATTCTTTAGTGGGATGTTCTTTAACCTCCATGTATTTGTCTTCTTTCCACATTTTTTCTTGTGGTTGACTTCAAGTTTCACAACATCGTGGTCTAAAAATATGCATGGTGCAATCTAAATCTCTTTGTACTGGTTAAGGCCTGATTTGTGACCCAGTATATGATCTGTTCTGGAGAATGTCCCATGTGCACTCGAAAAGAATGTATATTTGGCTGCTTTAGCATGAAATGTTTTGAATGTATCTGTTAAGTCCATCTGATCTAGTGTGTTATTCAAAGCCCTTGTTTCCTTGTTGATCTTCTGCTTAGATGATCTGTCCATTGCTGTAAGTGGGGTGTTAAAGTCCCCTACGTTTATTATATTATTATCAATGAGCTTCTTTATGTTTGTTATTGATTGATTTATATATTTGGGTGCTCCTAGGTTGGGGGCATAAATACTTAAAATTGTTAGATCTTCTTGATGGATAGACCCCTTAATTATATTTAATGCCCTTCTTCATCTCTTGTTACAGTCTGTTTTAAAATCTAGTTTGTCTGATATAAGTATGGCTACTCCAGCTTTTTTTTATGTCTATCAGCATGATAAATGGTTCCCCACTCCCTCTCTTTTAATCCAGTGGTGTCTTTGGGTCCAAAATGACTGTCTTGTTGTTTTTTTCTTTATGCATTCTGATACCCCATGTCTCTTGATCGGGGCATGTAGCCCATTTACATTCAGAATGATTATTGATAGATATGAATTTGTTGCCATTGTATTATTTGTTAAGTAGTTGTTTCTGGAGCTTTTCTCTTTTCCTTTCTAGTCTTTGTTGCTTTTGGTCTGTCTTTCCCACACAAAGAGTCCCCTTTAATATTTCTTGCAGGGCTGGTTTAGTGGTCTCGAACTCCTTTAGTTTTTGTTTGTCTGGGAAACTATCTCTCCTTCTATTCTGAATGACAGCCTTGCTGGATAGAGTATTCTTGTCTGCATATTTTTCCCATTTAGCACATTGAATATACCCTGCCCCTCTCTTCTGGCCTGCCGGGTTTCCGTGGCAAAATCTGCTGCTAACCTTATTTGTCTTCCCTTATAAGTTAGGGACTTCTTTTCCCTTGCTACTTTTAGGATTTTTTCCTTATCTCTGTATTTTGCAAATTTTACTACAATGTGTCTTGGTGTTGGCCTGCTTTTGTTGATTTTGATGGAGTTCTCTATGCCTTCTGGATTTGGATGTCTGTTTCCTTCCCCAGATTAAGGAAGTTTTCACCTATAATTTCTTCAAATAAACCTCTGCCCCATTTTCTCTCTTCTTCTTCTTCTGGGACTCCTATAATATGAATGTTATTATGCTTCATGGAGTTGCTGAGTTCCCAATTCTACATTCACGATCCAATATTTTTCTTTTCCTATTTTCAGCTTCATTATTTTCCATAATTTTATCTTCTATATCATTTATTCATTCCTCTGCTTCTTCCATCCTTGTGGTCATTACATCCAATCCATTTCACATCTCAGTTATAGCATTTTTTATTTGGGCCTGACTAGTTTTTAGGTCAAGGTTTCTCAAGCCCAGCTAGTTTCCTTATGATTGTTGCTTTGAATCCTGCATCAGGCATATTACTTTATATCCATTTCAGTTAGATCCCTGGACGTGACCTTGTCTTGTTCTTTCTTTTGGGATGAATCCTCCATCTTGGCATTTCGTCTAGGTCTCTGGTTTTTTTTTTTAAGATTTTATTTATTTAGTTGAGACAGAGAGAGAGAGCACAAGCAGTGGGGAGGGGCAGAGGGAGAGGGAGAAGCAGACTCCCCGCTGACTGCAGAGCCTGATGTGGGGCTCGATCCCAGGACCCTGAGATCATGACCTGAGCCGAAAGCAGACGCTTAACTGACTGAGCCACCCAGGCGCCCCTCAGTCTCTGTTTTCTTCTGTGTGTTAGGAGAGCCTGTAATGTTTCTTGCTTCCGAGAGTAATGGCTTAATAAAGAAGAGGTCGTACACTGTCTAGGGCCTGGTGCTTCAGGAAGTGTCCCTTGTGTATACTGTTTGCACTCTGCTGCTGTGTTTTCACCGCTCTTCCCCTCCAGTCAGTCCTCTGCGGAGTTTCTCTTTGCCTGCAGTGGGGGGCAGTGTTTGGACCTTGGCCAGAGTATGGCGAGTTTTAACTAGGTGTGCTCCAGGGTCTGCTTGTTAAAAGAGACCTGATGCTATTTCCAGTAGAGCTGAAGCTTTGCAGCACTCTGTGGTCAGGAGATGTGGTATATGTGGGGGGGTTGTGCTGGTCTTCTGGGGGAGGGGCCTGCTGCTCAGGGTCTCAGGCACACTTGCCCTAGTAAAGAAGCACCTGCCGAGCAGAGAGGGGCGGGGCTTGGTGTAAGCAGCTCAGGCCTCCACTGTTGGCTGATGCTGATGAGCAGGGGAGAAAAATTGCACCAGTCCTCTCCCTCATCCCTGGAGAGGGGAATTCATGCCCATTGCTGTCTGGGAAGCCCTCACAGAAGAGTGAACACTCTCCCCTCGTGTGTCCCAGGTGTCCCTCAGATCCCTGCCTTCACCCTGTCAGTGTCCGGGCCACCTGCCTGCCCGGCAGATCAGTGCACCTGTCTTTTATCCCAGGCAGGTCGGCTGAGTTCCAAAACTCCAAACTGTAGGGACCCAGCATGGTGCGGTCCTTCACCAGTCCGCTGGGGATGGGTCTTGATGCACTGGGGCTGGGGCCAGTTTGTCCCAAAAGGGCATTTGCACCAGTGCGCAGGAGCTTGGAGTTTAGCATAAAACGCAACAGAATGCCAGTGTCCAGGTTAGCCGCCTTCAGCAGGTGTCTCTGCCCCTACGCTAAGTGGCAGGGGAGCATGTTGGTGCCTGCTGGCTCTTTTGTCCCCTGAGAGGCAAGTCCACCTCTCCCGGATGCCCTCCAAGAAGGGGAACCGTCTCTCCCAGTTTGTCCCAGGGAATCCTCAGAGCATGCTGTGGGCCCTGAGGCCTCCACCCTCCTTCTCTGCAGAAACACTGTAGCCCCTGCTGGGCTCCACACCAGCCATGGCTCAGACCTCTAAAACTCCAGTCTTTGAGCTCCACTGCTTGTAAAAACGCACAGTAATCAGCCCCTCGCATTTTTCCAGTCAGTGGCTCTGGGGAAGTGTTTTCCTTGTGTGATCTCCTGTCCGTTCTTTTTTTTTAAGATTTTATTTTTAAGTAATCTCTATACCCAACATGGGGCTCAAACCCATAACCCCAAGATCGAGTCACAGCCCCCACCAACGGAGCCAGCCAGGAGCCCTAGGATTTCATTCATTTTTATGGCTGAGTAATATTCCAGTGTGTGTGTGTGTGTGTGTGTGTGTGTGTGTGTGTGTACACGTGTGTACGTACCACATCTTCTTTATCCATTCATTTATTGATGGACACTTGCGCTGCTTCCTTAATCTTAACTATTGTAAATAATGTTTCAGTAAACATAGAGGTGCATATATCTTTTTGAACAAGTATTTTCATTTTCTTTGGGTACATACCCAGTAGTGGCATCAGTGGATCATGGAGAGTAATTCTATTTTTAATTTTTTGAGTAACATCCATACTGTCTACCGTGGTGATTGCACCCATTTCCATTCCCACCAGCAGTGCACGAGGGATCCCTTTTCTCCACAGCCTCACCCACACTTGTTATTTCTTATCTTTTTGATTCTAGCCATTCTGACTGGTGTGAGGTGGTATCTCATTGTGGTTTTGATGGGCACTTTCCTGATAATTAGTGATGTTGAGCATCTCGTCTTGTGCCGATTGGCCATCTGTATGTCTTTTTTTGGAAAAGTATCTATTCAGGTCCTCTGCCTAGTTTTTATTTATTTATTTATTTATTTTTAAGATTTTATTTATTTATTTGAGAGAGACAGAATGAGAGACAGAGAGCACGAGAGGGAAGAGGGTCAGAGGGAGAAGCAGTGTGGGACTCAATCCTGGGACTCCAGGATCGTGACCTGAGCCGAAGGCAGTCACTTAACCAACTGAGCCACCCAGGCGCCCCTCTCTGCCTAGTTTTTAATAGGTGATTTTGGGGTTTTTTGGTGTTGAATTGTGTAAGTTCTTTGTATATTTTGGATATTCACCCCTTATTGGCCTATTATATATTTGCCATATCCTTTCCTGTTCGCTAGTTTGCCCTCTTGTTTTGTTGATGCTTTCCTTTGCTGTGCAAAAACTTTTTATTTTGGGGGGTGCCTGGGTGGCTCAGTCGTTAAACGTCTGCCTTCGGCTCGGGTCATGGTCCCAGGGTGCTGGGATCGAGCCCCACATCGGGCTCTCTGCTCGGCGGGAAGCCTGCCTCTCCCTCTCCCACTCCCCCCGCTTGTGTTCCCTCTCTCACTGTGTCTCTCTCTGTCAAATAAATAAATAAAATCTTTAAAAAAAAACTTTTTATTTTGGTATAGTCCCAATAGTTTATTTTGCTTTTGTTTCTCTTGCCTCAGGAGACATATCCATAAATATGTTGCTAAGGGCAATCAATGTTCAAGAGATTACTACCTGTGTTTTCTTTTAGGAGTTTTGTGGTTCAAGGTCTCAAAATTAGATCTTTAATCCATTGAGTTTATTTTTATGTATGTTGTAAGAAAGTGGCCCATTTTCATTCCTTTGCATGTAGCTATCTAGTTTTCTGAGCACCATTTACTGAAAACAGACGGTTTTCTCCCCATTCTATATTCTTACCTCCCTTTCAGTTGACCATATAGGTGTGGGTTTATTTCTGGGCTCTCTATCCTGTTCTGTTGATCTATGTGTGTATTTTTGTGCCAGTACTATTTTGTTTTGATTACTACAGCCTTGTAGTATAGTTTGAAATCAGGAAGTGTGATACCTCTAGCTTTGTTCTTCTTTCTCAAGGATGCTTTGGCTATTTGGGGCCTTTCGTGGTTCCATGCAAAGTTTAGGATTATTTGAGTTCCACGAAAAGTACCTGGTATTTTGATAGGGATTGCATTGAATCTATAGCTAGCTCAGTTTGGTTAATACAGACATTTTAACAGTATTAATTCTTCCAGTCCATGAGCTTAGTGTGTCATTCCTTTTGTTTGTGTTATGTTCAATTTTTTAAATCAATGTTTTATAGTTTTCAAAGTATGGATCTTTTACCTCCTTGGTAAAATTTTTTCCCAGGTACTTTATTCTTTTTGGTGCAATTATAAATGGGATTGTTTTCTCAATTTCTCTTTCTGCTACTTTATTATTAGTGTATGGAAATGTAACAGATTTCTGTATATTGATTTTTGTATCCTGCGACTTTACTGAATTTATCAGTTCTAATAGTTTTTTAGTGAAGTCTTTAGGGTTTTCTGTATGTAGTATCATGTTATCTGCAAATAGTGACATTTTACTTCTTTGGATGTCTTTTATTTCTTTTTATTGTCTGATTGCTATGGCTGGGATTTCTAGGATGTTGAATAAAAGTGGTGAGATTGGGGTCCCTGGGTGGCTCAGTCAGTTAAGCGTATGCCTTCAGCTCAGGTCATAATCCCAGGGTCCTGGGTTCGAGCCCCACGGCGGGCTCCCTGCTCAGCAGGGTTCTACTTCTCCTTCTCCCTCTGCTCCACCCCACTTGTACTCTCTCTCTCTCTCTCTCTCCCTCTCTCAAATAAATAAATAAAATCTTTTTTAAAAAAAAGTGGTGAGAGCAGATATCCTGTCTTGTTCCTGATCTTAGAGGAAAAACTTTCAGGTTTTCACCATTAACTATGATGTTAGCTGTGAGGTTTTTTTAAAAATTTTTTTATTGTTATGTTAATCACCATACATTACATCATTAGTTTTTGATATAGTGTTCCATGATTCATTGTTTGTGCATAACACCCAGTGCTCCA